TTATTTTAAAAATTATTTTAATTATATTAATTATTTTAAGAATTATTTTAATTATATTAATTATTTTAAGAATTATTTTAATTATATAAAGAATTATTTTAATTATATTAATTATTTTAAGATTTATTTTAATTATATTAATTATTTTAAGAATTATTTTAATTATATAAAGAATTATTTTAATTATATTAATTATTTTAAGATTTATTTTAATTATATTAATTATTTTAAGAATTATTTTAATTATATAAAGAATTATTTTAATTATATTAATTATTTTAAGATTTATTTTAATTATATTAATTATTATAAGAATTACTTTAATTATATAAAGAATTATTTTAATTATATTAATTATTTTAAGATTTATTTTAAATATATTAATTATTATAAGAATTATTTTAATTATATTAATTATTTTAGGATTTATTTTAATTATATTAATTATTATAAGAATTACTTTAATTATATTAATTATTTTAAGATTTATTTTAATTATATTAATTATTTTAAAAATTATTTTAATTATATTAATTATTTTAAAAATTATTTTAATTATATTAATTATTTTAAGAATTATTTTAATTATATTAATTATTTTAAGAATTATTTTAACTACATAAAGTGAACCATCTGTTTGACCTTCTACTTAAATATAAAGCTAAAGAAATAATTAACGTTAGAAGAGTAACTGAAACCTAATTAAAAATGTAACCGAAACATCAATAATGACAGGAAGATTCGTAACACTCACATCGGTATCATTCCCTCTGTGAGCACGCTTCTGTCTAGCTCCTTGAGGGAACTTCCCTCCTTCAGGCTTCGTCCCATTCATCCCGCCATAATGATAAACCAGCTGCATCCCTTCCTCGAAGTATCCTTGATTCTCTTGGTAGTTCTTCGCGTATCTAGACAAACCGTCCAACCTTTTTGCCTGTATGGCCGCCTTGACTGCATCGTTTCTCTTCGACAAGGATTCTCCGTCGGTACAATTGCCACTAATAACTCGTCTGCTCTCGAGGATATCCTATTTACATAAGTTCTCAACTACGTTAACAGCTCGCAGAGAGGGAGGAAAGCATAACGATGAGATTGTTAAGAAGAAAATTTATGGACGATGGTAGCAATACCTACTTACGATAGTAAATAACCATTGTAGCGTTTACGACTAATGAGACATGCGTGAAATTGCTGGAGTAACCTGTTCATTTACCGATGATTAATGCTAATTCTCTTGTATTACTGTTTTTCTTTTCTTTTCTTTTTCATCTCTTTGAGATGTTTATGGTTTCTTGTGGAACTTTAAGGTCTCTCAGTGAATCATTCAAGGAGTTTTGGAATTTTTAAGACTCTTTGCTACGTTTCTCTTTTTCGGAAGAAGATTTCTTCAAGTGTTTTCTCTTGGGATTTTTTTTTTTTTTTTAGAATATCTGATGGAATTTGAGAGTTTAATATTTTCCGCATTAAAATTTAAATTATTTGAAGGTTCTTTTACGATTTCGCAGGACTTTGACTAATTTAACATAATTTTAATAATGTCATACATCGTATTTTGTAATTGAATCTACGATATTCTATCACGTTCTACCACGTTCATTATAACGATCTATAATTACTTGCCAATTACTCGAAAGATTCTTAATGAACTTGTAAATTCATTTCGTAACAATGGTAATTTTAAACACATGTAACATTTTCACTCTAACGAGGAAAACGATTATGCAATTCCATCTACCATCTCGAACCAATTTCACATGTGTCTTTGAAAGCTAATATTTAATATTACGCTATATATTCACCTAATCGCATCAGCAACGTAGCATTTAAACTAAACACCAGGAAGCTACAATGCAGAAAGATGAATTTTATCACTTTTTATGTCGCTTTCTAACGGAAACTCGCAACGTACAAAGCAGGAAGAGGAATCGATCAACTTGCAGAAAGCGGATTAGAAAATCGTTACTTATCTAAAAAAAAAAATTAACAAATCGATCGTATCTGTTCCCTGAAAGAAAATTACGAAGATCCTCTCTCCCGAAACAGTGGAGATGGGTTCAAGTATATTACCAGTATACTCGAATCTCTACGAGGCAGGTTCGAACCGTCTATAAGTATTTTGGCAAAGAAAAGCAGTACTTTCAATTATAGTCGAACCTTCATCGAATAGGATCGAAACTTTCAAATAAATATCACGTTAGAAGTTCTCTGATTTTCCCAGTCATCCTTTCTGTTACTTTTAGAAGCAATTATGCTGTAATGCGTAATTAAATTCTGTACATGTATACATGTAACGATGTAACTATAGTTTTATAATATGTACGACTTTCATATAGCACACAGTATTTTGCAATCGAAACTGCAGGTGTTTGGTGTAATAATCGTTCAGTAAACAGCCATAGAAAAATCATTTCGTTCGTACCTTCGATGTATCCTTCACACCGAATACTCTCGCATCTTTCCTGGACTCGATCCTGTCATTCCCAAAGCGTCTCACGCCGCCATTACGGTTCCCATCGGCGTAAACGATATCGATGTAACCCGGTTGCTTCTCCAGACGCCTCGACTCTCCACCATATGCCTGTTCCCTGCTGATCTGCCCGGGAACAAACCTCTGGCCAGTCACTCTACTCTCTACGTTCTCAGACGCTGAAGTCTCAACGTCCCTGTAACGTTCCTCGGTCCTTCTACTACCGAAATTCTCGTCTCCTCTATAACTCTGTTCCTCGCGTTCTCTGCTCCGACTGTTGTAAGAGCCCGATCTAGACCTGTCGTAACTCTCCTGCTGCTCGTAATTCCTCGAATTCAGTCCAGTGTTCATCGCGCCCATCGCGTACATCAGTTGAACGTCCGCGGGATACCTCAGATTCTCTATGATTCGCGTGGTGTCCGATTTCGAGAGGACTTTCGCGTTCTCCATGTTGTACGTAGGAAAGTCCGGCTCCCGGTTCGATTTACGATTACTCTGAGCACGATCGACCGCCGGCTCCTTCATTTTCTCCGCTTGGATCTTCATGAGGAAGGGATCGTACTGTCTGAGTCTCTCGAAGCGGCTCTCTTGCTCTCTGGCGCTGGCCACGAACTTGTTCCCCTGATTCCCCGCGGCGGAGACGATGGCCTCGAAGCTTTCGTTCTGCTCCTTAGGCTCCTTGATCAACGTGTGGAACCTGTATCTGATCGAGTCCAGGTCTCTCAAGTCGCTGTAGCTCACGTAGCCAGCCTCGAGTTCACTGAGGTTCGACTTCAGACGACCTCGAGCTATGTGGATGCTGTCCAGAGTCGATTCGTTCAATCCCGTGATTTCTACGTTCCGAAGGATTACTCGGTAGCTGGTGTTCCCTTCGGACTGGTCCACCTTGATCACTGGCACTTTCAGCGGGTCTAGCTTGCCCGCCTTCGAGAACCCGCCTGACAGAAGCTTCGTCCAGAGTTGCTGAGACATTTCCAGCAGGGTTCCCTGAGAGTTTGCCAGGGCCAGCAGGCCCAATGCTAAGAGCGCGATGGCTACGATCTTCGTCATTGCGTAGGTTTGTTATTTCAATTGAGAAATTGTTCTGTGGTAGTGCTTAAATACTATTTAATAAATACTATTAAATATTACTCGGTTCTTGCGAGCAGAACTTTTCGAATTTCCTTCCTCCAAAAGTCAAAGATGTTTTAATCAGAATGCTTCTCCAAGAGTCGCGGTATTTTCGAATATTATCTGTCGATAATATCCTAATTAATAATTTCGTAGTCGAATCAACGGTCTTCGAATGTATTCCAAGCTGAATTTCTCGAGTTTCCCAAGAGTCGACGAGATCTCCGAGAAAGACTTCTATTCTAAGCTCTTGATCTGCCAAACGTAGACAGGCTTGAACACCAAGAGAAGAACGATGGCGACCACGATGAAAGTCAAAAGCAAGCAGAAGAGAGCGGCGCACAACAACACTTTGACACCCGGGCCGATGATCCCCCGCTCCTCCACGCTGTTTCCGATTTAATAATCCAGTAAGACTGAAGCCAAGTCGACGAGATTCTTCACCATCGTTACTCTCGCCGTTACCTCGGTTGTTTCTTATCTTAGCGTTTCTCTACAGGCGTGCGGTGCTCGTGCAAAAGCGAGGATCGCGAGTGGATGATGCGTTTGCCCGGCGGTTTTATACAGCGTCGTGGAAGGGCACCGGATCTAGGCCATGGACCATACTCTGATTCCTCTGGGGTTCGTTAACTAGGTGATCTTTTTAAATGTTTACACGCCTTCTTTTCTCTCTCTCTCTCTCTCTCTCTCTCTTTCTTCTCTCAGCTAGTTGCATAGCGTGTTCGATGAAACGTCTAATAGAGGGCAAGGTCCTTTCCCGACCTTAAGTGGAAGAGATCATGGCAGCCCAGCCGGGTCTAAAACGCCGCAAATAGAGCGCCGTTGGAGCTGTTGCGTAATATGCTTGTTCTTAAATGTACATCGCGGTATGTGGTACCTGCGACGAGGTGCTTAATGGGGAGCGTGGTAGGTTGTGCTTTGTTCGATGATTCGGCGAGAAGGTTGGGGGTAAATGCGTATACGCTTGAGAAGGCGCGAGGAGGTTGGTTTTTGGGTGAAGGTGAGGCTAGGTTTTTTTTCTCTTGATGAACGACGCTGTTGAAGCGTCCTTCTTGGAATTTTGATTTGGGGTGTGAAATTCTGTCGGGCGTAGTTTGCTCGTAAGAGCGTTCGAATTCTTATTGGAATCGTTCGTGATGTTTAGGTGAGATGACTGAGGAAACTGTTGGAACATGCTTGAAACGGTACGAGAAGATTGGTTCTTCACTGAAAGAGTATAGTTTCATTTTTGAAATTGAATTTTTATTGTAAGAAATTGGTGAACCATTCTCAACTACTTTATTACCTAGCCTAGTAAAATTTTGTTAGAGACCAACGTACATACTTGGGAAAATGATGAGGATGAGGCTGTTTTATTTTTATCTCAATAGACTATATTAGATAAAAAGACTAACTTCTTGGAATTTTGATTTTGGAACGTTTTGTTATATCTTGATGAAACTTCGTTGTTTATGAAAGTATTCGGACACTTATTAGAACCTTTTACGAATATATAGTCACTATCTCAGTTAAAAATATTCAGAAGTCACATTTTACTTCCTTGAGTCATTGTCTCAACTTGCCAAGAATGACAAGTGCAATAAAACTGACAAATATCGGGACATTAAATTGCGTAATCCCTAAAAGGAGCTGGAGGTATAATAGAAATGGCGATGTCAGCGGATTACCAATCGATGATACGTTCGCGATTTTCGATGGCACGATATTATTTCGTGATCGAACCTCGTCGTGACAACAACAATGCCACACTACGAATTCCTGTTAGCACTTTTCGTGACAAACTGCCTGTCTGTTGCATTACCTGTTTCAGAAATTCGTAAGTATCTTATTTTTTTTTCTTTGTTTCGTGCATAGATACGTGTTTCTTCACTGTGACATTTAAATAAACTATCCGCGATAATAATCACGTTGCGTTGAACTGTACATTTCCTGAAATTCAACTTTATCTGCAACAAATATTCTCAAAAAATACTTTCAATTGATAAATCTAATGTAACTTTATTTTCTTAAGAAGATTGAAATTAATTTCTGCATTCTAAGGAGTACATTATTTTTCAAACGCCCGGTATGCAGGCGTTAACGTTGCATCTAGAACACTCGCATTTAATTCGCGATGAATCGTACGTAAAATCATGCGATCTGAGTATATAAAGAATTCAGACCTAACCTGAGTTGAAGGCTGACGAACAACGACCGTAATACTTGAATTTATTCTTGTTACAAAGAGAAAAAGAAGCTGCTCACATTTATAATTGATAAAATAGAAATTTTTATACAAAATGTAATTCGAATCGTTGGACAAGAGAATAAATAAGTTATACGACGAATAAAATGTCCGTTGTACGAAAATAAACTGTCATTTTGAAACAAACGTATCGTGTAGAATTATCGCATTTTATTATTTTATTTTATTTGCTCTGGTTAAATGGACAATTTGATTTTCTTCAGCGTCGTTCTTGAAGATATGTCATCAAAATGACCCATTCTTGAACGACTGTTTAATGGAAAGTGTCGTTTCGTTGAGACCGTATTTAAAAAATGGAATACCTGGCCTTGGGATTCCAGCGTGTGAACCATTTCGCTTAGAGGAGATTGAAATTGATCAAACTTCCGGTCCGATTCATATTCACGCGAGGTATAACAACGTGTCCATATATGGTGGAACTAACTTCGTACCTAAAAGCATCAGGTACGTCTTTGCATCTCAATGCACATTTGTATACTAGATATTGTATACTACTTTTTGTAAATTAATATTATTAATATAAATTAATTAATATCAGGATGAAATTAAAAGGTATCTTAAGCAAAAATATAAACGCGAAGTAACTTAATATTTTCTACATTTCTCTGAAATTTTAAATTAAAGATCATCTGATCTATTACATGTTAAGGAATTTCATGTATTTAGAGACATTTTATCGCAATAATTTTCACTGGAAATTTGTCACTAATTCTCAAGTAATTGAGTTAAAATAATATTCTATATTGTTGAACAATATTGAATCAATATCTCAATTCCTTTCGATTCTTAAAAATCGACTTCAAAGTATTATAAAGTATTATAAACTATTATAAAGTAAATTGTCAAAAAAGTTCTTCAATTCTCTGTTAAAAAATTAAAAAGTCTCTGTTAGATTCTAAATTTAATTTCAAAGTGTAAAAAACAAAAAAAGGAAATTCTTTCCCTGAAAACTAGGAGATTTGACATTTCAAGAGACTAAAAATCAGAAAGATACTCGATTCTTTTTATCATTTCTGCCTCAAAATTGTTTCCAAGAACCCTCCATAATCTCGAGTGATCAAGTTAACCTCACGAAAAACATTTTTCAATCAGGTTCGACCTGGAGGAAAATATAATACGCCTGAACCTCTACATTCCGCGGCTGGAAATGATAGCGAATTACATCATGGACGGCAGAATCTTGATGTTGCCGATCACAGGAAACGGCGTTGCTCACGGAAACTTCACAGACATCGACGTTATCATGGCTCTACAATTGACGCGTTATTGCGACGAGAGAACAGGATTGATTCATCAAAGGGTGGAGGACATTTACGTCGAGTTCGATATTGGGTACGCTACTGTGTATCTGGATAATTTGTTCGACGGTGACGAGACACTCTCAGCGGCTATGAATCTCTTTCTCAACGACAACTGGAACATGGTGATAGAAGAGATCAGGCCGAAATTGGAGGAAACCATCGCCACGTTGATCATTGATTTCACGAACGTGATTTTCTCGATGTTCCCGGAGAACGTGCTACTACCATCTTAAAGTAAAATGTTTTATACTATATTTTATATTATATTATAAATGTCGGTCTCGTGTATTGAATCATTTTGTAAGTTTTCGTAGACTAGGCAACAATGTAAATACATCTACAGATTATTGAAAAATGAAGAGAAAAGATCGAGAGATATTTTTGTTTAAGTAATAGCCTTTTGACTGTGATTCAGTCATTGACTATCGAAGAAGTTTATAACTTGGATTATTACAAATTACATTAGTAACTTTGAGAAATTTATTCTTGCTGGAAATATGTTTTTGGTTCTATATATTTAAATTTCTCGAGAAATGTTTTATTTGCACAATTGTTTCTTTTCTGTCATTTCTGTTTTAAAACGTATTTTAAAAAAATTCTTTTCTTTTATTGGTGATTGAATAGAACATTTAAAAAAGCATAATACATTATCTAAAAAAAATTCAATCTACGATTTTAAAATTATCGTGCATTAATTATTGTACGCGTATCTTGTCTATATGGTCACATACAGCTCGGGGGGGCTCTGCGGCCCCCTTTACCATTTTCGTGTCACGTTCTACTATACCGATTTGAACAGGTTTTGCATCGCAGCGCTACAAGTAGTAGGAATTCAAATCAAATGAATAAAATTTTATTCATTATTTTGATCCGTTCGTTCGAATAAAATTTTGCCCAATACTGGCAAAAAATTTATTACCGCTTGAACTTTTGTTGCGTATATACGTACGCCTAAAAAAATTGAACAATTTTTTCAATAAAATTTCTCAATCTTCTAATATTTCTAATAATTTATCTATGACATTGAAATCATTAATTCATTTCTGTAACATTTCTAAATATCTATTATTTGAAACTTTTATAAAAATTACTTATAAGAAATTATATTGTCAATAACGTTTTATAATAACGTGTCACACAATATTTAACAACTTTAACGGTTAAATTTTTCAATATTTTCAAATTAACAGTTTAATGATTATTATTATTATTATTATTACGAATGAATTGGATTCTCTACTATCTCAAACATTTTTATTGATTAATTTTAACAATTCATACATAACAATTACAATAGAATTGTAAAATTAAAATAGAAGTGCACATTGATTTCTAAAATTGTAGGTTTCTTTTGAGGATTCAATGTATAATGTTTTTATAAAATTGTTAAATATCACACAAGATTGTGTTTAATTTTTCCTGGATATTTCAGACCACAAGACGGTCCACAAGACGAGAGATCCATTCTGTACTTTCTTATTTCTTATTTCAGAAATTCACTTACTGTCAGATATTAATTTTAGTACCAGTGATCACATTTTGATAGTTTTTCTTTTTTTTTTTTTTTCAACGAGAGTTTATCCACAGCGAATTGAAATTGCGAGTTACAACTTGAAACGAAGTAACCGTTTTAATGCTCATAATATCAGTTTCAAAAATGAGGCGTTGCAATCAACTCTTCTTCTCAGCTATTCTCGTCAAATAATGACGCTGTTACGAAAGACACTGCAGAGAAATTAAAGACATTCGACCGAGAAATCGACGGGTTCGGAAATCTCGATGTAACTCCAGGCCAGCAATGGGACGCCATTAAAAATTTACGAGACACCTATATTAGCCTTTTTCCTTATAAAGTTAATCAATTAGTATTATCGAAAATATTATCATGATTTTACGAACGATGATGCGCATGCAAATTGTTTCTGTTGCGTTTGTGTTGTTTCAATATGTTTACCTCGTCTTTTTCTCAGTTATTTAAGAAATTATTCGAAGAAAAAACAAAAGATCAAAACGTCAAAGGAACTTGAGTTTTTAATTCTCTGGTGATTGGAAAATTTAAAAATTTAAAGAAATTTAAAGAAGTCAAGAAATTATTGAAAAGGTGGTTAAAAGATTATTTGAAACATTTAGATTATTGAAAGTAACTCAAGATTAGTAACTAGATTAACAAAGTAACTCAAATATTTAATGATTCTTTCAATTGATTCAAGACGAATACGAAATTTAAGAAGCTTCTAATTTTTGAGAATAGATAACTCCACGTCGTTTCTTATTTCTACATATTTGTTTTCTATGTTTTTTAGTTTTTTATGTTTTGTTTTATTTTCTATGTTCTATTTGTAATCTATGTACGCTTCTGAAGAACTTGTTCAGAATCCACATGAAGTACAGGGTAAAAGGAGATGTCGACATTTCGTTTCTTACGAACTCCAAATTAGGCAACAACGGCAAGTTCTTTCGGAATTTCTCCAAACGCTGTGAAATATCCGAAAGTTTCAAGGTGTTCAAACAACCGACCGTTGAAAGCGGATTGAATTCGTTTACTCACACAACGTTCGCGTTTCCCTTTGTTGAAAGATTAGACAAACTGAACCATAATTTAATGCATGTAAAGTGCATTTGATTATGACGCAGTGTAATAATTACAAATGTGTAAATAATACGAACTGTCTAAAATACTGGAGAATAATAATTGAAAATAATAACCATGGAATATAAAAGTACAGAATGGAGAATATGAAAATACAGTAATTAATCTATTAAAATCGTTGTGTAAATCTTAATAAAGTCATATTTGTTTCTCGGTTATATTAATAAATATATTAATTTGTTCTTAATAAATATAAAATTTAACGTAGTTAAAAAGGATATTCGCATATTTGAAAATAAAAATATTATACGTGTAAAATATTTAATAAATATTCTACATATCATTCGACAAAATTATAATTTTAATAAATACAATTTTAATAAAATTACAAACTTAATAAATATTCTATATATCACTCGATAAAATTACAATATTAATAAAATTACAAATTTAATAAATATTCTACATATCGTTCGACAAAATTACAATTTTAATAAATACAATTTCAATAAAATTACAAATTTAATAAATATTCTACATATCATTCGATAAAATTACAATTTTAATAAATACAATTTTAATAAAATTACAAATTTAATAAATATTCTACATATCATTCGACAAAATTACAATTTTAATAAATACAATTTTAATAAAATTACAAATTTAATAAATATTCTACATATCATTCGATAAAATTACAAAATTATTCATTCATATTCGATTATGGTGTGATAAATCTTGTGTCGATACTATTCTATCAGACTGAAAGAAGTCTTGCAAAATGTAGCTTCCTTCGTCGCTAATTTCCGAGTAATTTGTCAAGTATGCAATACACGATCTCTATCAAGGACCAATTCGAAAAGACAATGCCACATTATATATTCATGGCCAACTGTGCAACGAACACCGTGACTATTATCAGCCATTAATACCCATCGACTTGTGGCTTAAAATAAATCGTCGATATGAACGAATATAATGCTTTTAATTATTCGAAACTTCAAGTCTCTTCCTCAATTTTGTCTCAATCAACATATTACCATTATATAATTTATTACTATTCTAGATTCGATTAAAATCCTTTATCGAATTGTTATCGAGGTAAAATTAGTTTGATGAGATGAGACGAAGATTAATTCTAGTAAAAGGAATTTTTATTGAAAGGAATGATATTCCGTCGAGAATGTTTAAAAAATCAAAATTTCAAAAAAGAGGAGCTTCAGGGCTTACATAATTTGACTAAAAGGAAGCAAAAATTGTATCAAATTGAAAGATATTTGCAAAAAAAATTGCAAAAAAAATTGGAGAAAAAAAAGAAGCTAGAGATCATTGAATTTTATATGACAAGGAAGTCAGAAATCATTGAAATGTAAAGAGTCAAAAGTCAGAAAAAAATTGAGAAGGATGAAAAGTGAAAAAATTATTGAACTACTGTTGCACTGCAAGGAAACAAGAAATCATTGAAATGTGAGACAAGACAAGTTCAGTAATTTTTTCATTATTATATATATTATATTTATATATCTTATATCATTATATTATATTATATTATATATATTTTATCATTTACATATATATATATATATATATATATATATATATATATATATATTATATATCTTATATAATATAAATATAAATATATATAAATTCATATATTATTATATACATTTTATCATTTATATATATATAAATTCAGATATCAGAAAATAGAAAATAACAGAATTAAAAAATTAATATCGCAAAAAGGTAAGAAATCGTTGGATTTCGAAATAATCCCCCCCCCCCCCCCAATTTCTCTAAACGTGATTTATGAAAATGTAGAAGACAATGGTCGCAGAGAAGTCGCAATGAAGAATACGAAACGAACGTTCCCCAACAAATGGAACAATTAATATGATTAAAATGCCTGTAACAGGTCGTACGGATGACGTAGAGATCTCGCAATGATCCAGCAAAGCGCGATTACGCAAAGCGCGCCATTCATTTGGCAGTGCATATACATTTTTCAGTCCTGGCTATTATGTTCACTATGTGTTCACCACGGCCATTGAGCAATCCTGAACTCTGAAAATTAAGTGTCACCTCTTGCCGGCAATTCGATTACAAAATTCCACACTCACGACAATTTTAACACGCCGAGCGTCGCTCTAGATCCGTCTCTGAATCGCGTAAACGTGTAATGAACGTTTTCTTTTTTTCTTTATTCGCGGTTTACTCGAGTAGTATAATTATTTGTGACGGAGAGAAATATTGTGTATTTCTTTTTTCTTTTTAAATAACGTGACAGGGTGATTGACTATTGGGAACTGAAAGTAGGTTAAAAATGTGGCAATCGTCGATCTGGGGATGGGGGTGTTGATTCTTAACTCAATTCACAATTTATCGAATTGAAGTATTGATTTATAATTCATTTGATTTGACGTTTTTAACTTCATCGATTTGATGATTTTAATTGCATTGTAAATGACATTTTCGAGTCGATTAATTTGTCCTGGCAATTAATAATAAAAAAAAAAAACTATTGTGGAGTCAAACTTTAGTTGCAATAGTGGATCTGAAATTTTTTATAAATAAAAATGGAGAAAGCAATAAACATAGACTACATTAATTTGTTAAAGTATAAACGAATGACACTGACAGAAAAATTAATTCATCTGGTAATTTCTAAATTAATGAGCATAAAAATGAGAAGGAACGCGCAACACAAACAAGGATAAACAAATAAATACGAAATTTAAAAAAAATTAAACATTTTAATTAAATCTAACAAATAACGAGGCAAAATATTAAGTCGAGAGTGTTCACATTGAACGAAAGTAAGAAGAATAAAAATGTGAGGAGCCGTACCGAGCGAATCGTTTCCCAATTTTTACCAAAAATTAATTCTCCAAGTCACGGGACAAGGTGGTATCAATTACACCTGTGAGAAATGAAAAGAAGAGACGGCGTTTAAAGCCGAACAGAAGCTCTCAGAGTAGGGGAACGCTCGCATATAAGACAGAATACGAAGAGAACGCATGTTTAGTTTACGAGAATCGATCCGTCTAGCTACCACCCTGATCCCTCGTTTTCATCCACCATTTCTCGTTCGTTTCACACACAAATATTTTTCGTCAAACGTTAGAATCGAAACAAATTAATTAAAAAGAAAGGGGGAGAGGAAAGGGTACAGTGCATAAATTAGTGATTAACGAAACGGATAAACAAGATCAATGAAACAAAGTGTATCCGAGGAGGGGCATCTTTTAAATTAAAAAATCAACGGGACTTAATTGAGAATCATTTGGTGAATAATTGAAACAGAATTTCGATTTTGTTTCCGCGTTCTTGTTGAAGAAACTTCAAAGTGCTTCGGGGCACGTAATTGGAGATTGTTCAACATTCAGGGATAATTTGCAATTAACAAGTGGGCCTCGAGTGGAGGTCGAAGGTTCTTCAGGATGTTGCAACAGCGGAGTATACTCTGTGCGATGCTTTTTGGACTGTTGTCCGGAGAACTCGTGCTCTCGGATCAGCAACGAAACAATCCTGCGCTGAACGAGCCCGACTTCGAGATACGTAAGCCTCTTCAGTGCCAATTTTACGCTACAGTGATAATTTACTCATGTCGGAACATCATTTATCGAGGACGCAGAATTCAATGAGTTCGATGAAAATTTTTATTGAATTACATCGCCGTGTAAATGAAATGTTGAACGAATAGAGTGGGGAATCCTTATCACGTGAACTCTCCAATTCGAATGAATTTCCATCGTAGACAGTGCACACGTGCATGTCAAAGTATTAATTTTCTGGAGTAATTTAACAGCGATAATCATATCGCGCGGACATTCAAACTTCTCTGCGCGTTCGTACATTGTACAATGAAACTAAAACGATTCGCGTACGATTAAAATTCAATTCATAAATATCTAAAAAATCAGAACTTGGGCAAATATTTATTTCACTTGTTAAATAGGACAACAATTTCAGCTTGAATATGACAAGAACTGCTTCGAATTTCTTTCCACTGAATGCATCGAAATCCACGGTCCAGTGAAATAATTAATCGACAACTATAATAATAGAAAAGAAAAAAAAAAAAAAAGAAGTGGCGTTTGAGAGTTAATACAGCAAGTGCCATTATGCAACCACTTTCCACGATTTTACGATGATCTAAGAGTTAATTCTCGCTTAAGTGAACGCGCTGGATAATAATCTAAGAGTGCTGAGAATCAGAGAGGGATCGCGTGGAAGCTGACAAGTGTTGTTCTCGTGCAGCGTGTAACTTTATTATCAATAAGAGTGCGTAACGAGTGTAAGAATGGAGTTACGAGCGAGTAATTATTCCTTCTACGATCATTGAGCGTATCTACCTTTCTCTTTCCACGTAGAGGGCAATTGTAGCGATTATATCACGGAAGTCCGTTGCGTTGCACGCGTTTCCTTTTGTCGTGTCAAATTGTTCGCTTTCTTCCGAGAGATCGAGAAGATGCCTTGTGCAGCGTCTTGACCGTGTCGATCGTTCGATTGTTCCCTTTTTTTTCTCCGCCCTCTTCTCTCTCGCGGATAAAGATAAAACTCTGAGATAAACTCGGAGGATATCCGAGTTGTGAGAGTTCGAAACGAAAGTGAAGAACACGTGTGTACGAAAACTACCACGTATTTAGAGTTTTGACCAAGTTGATGATTTATCGATTATTTCCTCGGAAATGTGACATTATTATACTATATAGAATTTTCATTCCTTGGGATTAATCAATATCTATTTTAAATCGAAATTGGCGAATTTTTATTTTGTGTCTTTTGAAGACACTCTTTTTTCCTGAGAATAACATCAAAGGATTGACGTCTAAAGAATATATTACCGATGAATGTCATTCTACCATCTCTTTCCTTCGAGAATTCTTCTTGAAAACAAAATCAGAGAACTGAAAGATCATATGCACAATTATCGATCGAGTCGATGGTGAAATCACAGATACTTCCTAGCGAGAATGTTTAATAAAATTTCAGAAAAGAACGCGCATTCTAATTATAGAATTTTAATTGGACAATAAATCTCCTGAAGCTTCGAGAATGAAATCAGAAAATTTAATTGCAGCAAGAGTAGCAAAGCGGACGAGAACAAATGGAATTGGACATTTTTCTTGACATTTCCTTGGCGCGATACTTTCTCTTTCTACGTACAGACAGAGAACAAGGAAATCATAGATTGGAATGTTTGCGAATTTTCTAGTTTCGTTCTCGTGTTGATCAAAGGTCGAGTTTTCAAACTTGTTTTGAAAATGAAATGATGTTTTATTGTCTGATTTGCAAGGCAAATTTTTAATTGCGCTTACTTCAACAAGACATTACTGTAATTAATTCGTTTTTGCGAAGAAACATAAATATCTATGCGTATTCTCAAGAGCCTGAAATTTTCCATCAAGCAAAAATAGAAGCGAACGATGAAAGATATTATTAAAGCTTCCAGTAATAAGTTTCAGATATCCCAAAATTTCATCAATCATTCAATTATAGTCAAAACAAAAAGATTTAATAATGATCATTTATAACATTAAATAAAATTCTCAGAAAATGCTCGAGGACCAGATTCAATTAATTAAAATTCATTCTAGCACCGATCCCATTCATCTTATTTACCCAACTTAATTTTATGAATGATTGTACGAAATTATCCAAGAACTCACGAAACTGTGCAAACAATAATTGATCTAATACTAAATAATAGTATAATATTTAATATAAAATGTTAATATAAAAGAGTTATATAGAGATGCTTCGATCATCTTTATTTCATTTTAAACAGGATGTATTCTATTCTAATTTAATTTAAAAGAGAATTAATACAAAATCATTTTACAAACAGATATGTCTCATCCTAATTATAATAACATTTTAGTAATTAAAATATCCCCCCCCTAATTATTACCATCTTATTCTCAAAATTCTAAACTAAATTATTACTCTTACTAATTTTAATAATCTTCTAATGTTTAACAACCTTATTCTCCAAAGTAATCTTACTAATCTAACAGCCACGAGATGGCAATAATTTTATTTTTGAAATACCAAATTAATTCTCGACCTCAGCTAAATTCCACTAGCCACTCATGCAGACATTTTATTCATAGACTTCGACAGTATTACTTCATAGACTCTTTGTTCTCCAACTTGTTCGAGGTGTCACCTATTGCTATCAACGTCGTAACATCGAGTTTTATTTTTATTAACTCAGTTAAAATTAAAATTCCAACATCGTTGCAGAGTTCGACCTGGTCAGGTCAAATGAAATGAAATGAAAATTTAAAAAAAAATTAAACGATGGTGTGGCGTTGGTTATCGTGATCGATGCGACGCGACGTAATGGTAGCGAGCATGGCGTAACAGCTCTCGATGGCGTGGCGAAGGTTATGTCAGAAGGTTGCGTAACGGGCTCGTGAATCGGACAGTAATCGGTCGGAGAAAGTGGCGGCCGACGCTTACTTAGAGCTGGTCTTGCATTACGTACCCACCAGCCAGCTACACGCTCGTCTTCGCGCGAATTCGACTCCTCGCCGCGATTCCTCGAGAGTGAAAGCGTATTTCCACGCAACCAGGACGATGCATCGAACGGTCCAGATTCTTTGGTTGGTCATGGACCTTGCGTAGTAGGCTTATTAACCGAGCAGACATTTATGCATTCGTGGGAAACTTTTGTAGCAGAAGATTTGTATTATTATTATTATTATTATTATTTTTTTTTTTTTTTAACACATTGTCAGGAAGAATTGTAACATGTAGAAATCGCACAAGCGTGATAGTTGTACACCAATGATTTTTTGAGTTACTGAAATTTTGTCTAGAAAATGAAAAAAATGTTGGTGCTAGTTGTATTATTGGTAGCCTAATTCTTTTATGGAGATTTTCACTTAACTTTTTATGAAATTTTTCATTTAATATAGAATCTAAAATAATAAAAGTGTATTTCTTGCACTTTGGAAATATAAAATAGTCGATTACATCCATTTTGCAGATGTTTATGCTCGTATGAAAAATATTTGTAGCTTTATTCCTTTCGTTGTAGAATGTAGAAATATATTTCTTATACTTTGAACAAGACGAGAGTAACATAGAAACGTAACAATCCGACAACCGTAACAGGATTATATTCAACAGAAATTGTACATGAAAAATCAATGAAATCATCATCCAAATGGATAAAGTACACAGAACAGAAATAAACTAAGAACATAAACTAAACATTTTGGAAGTAAATATTTTCATATGCTTGCCACTCTGCATGTAATAAGACACGCATCGTGAATTAGTGTAAATTATGTTAAACTTTGCGAGCAAATGAAACAATAGAAGGAAATATCTACAATAATGGACGAAGTGTGTCAATGTGATGCACATAATTCAACAAGAATGCTCTTCTATGCTTTCTCGAGTCAGTAGATCAAACAGTTGCTAACAGTTTTCAGTGTCTAAAATAGCAAAAGCTTCGTAAACAGAGATGTATACGTATTTAAAATAATTATAGCACTAAGATAAGTTTTAGAGAGAAAAGTTAATAAGAAGTATAATAAGTGACGTTGAACTGAAAACTAAAATCGTCTTTATTGACCCAATAAGAATCACGCAATGTTATAAATACCTCAATTTCATTAAATTTCATGAAATTCTAGAATCTATCCAGAAGCAAAAAATTTTAAGCGAATCGTTGAAATTTACTTTTACAGTAATAATGTTAAAAAATGAGCTGACTCAATATTGACCTTCAATGAATTAAAGAAACTTCTGAAATGATTCAATTCAACATTCAATTCAATTTATAGGAGAAATTGAAAAGACGTACGTGCATGTTCTTCTTTTAGTTGTTAATTGTGCATCTTGAAAATTTCATTTTTTCAAAGTTTAAACTAATACAATATTCACCATATGCGTGTGAATATCAAAAAAGCTTGTTAAAAGATTATTAACGCTACACATGTACACTTACACTTCATTATTACTTACTGTTTCAATTAATGTTCATTATGCTTCATCAATTCGATTTTTGATAATAATTAGAATCATAAAATTAGTCGATTATGACATTTGTAATAATTTATTAAAAATTTCAGTGTAAATTAATTTTTCGTATTTATCTGCAGATAATAATTGCATGATTTTCCCGGGCGGCTAAGATGCTTGATGATACGTCATAGTGTAATCATGACATGACACGCGTTGAAATCACTCGCGAATATTTTCGTGCATCAATATTTGCATTTATCGAGTTCTTTAAAATTTTTTCTAAGTAACTTTGTTTGAAGTCACTTTAATACTTTTTTTTTTGGTACATATATTATAATTCAATTAATTTTAGACTATTTAAAATTAAATTGCATCAACGATATTTACAATAATCAAAAAATATTAAAATATTGATTGAAATAAATAACATTGGTCTACAGTAGGTTAAGGAACACAGCAGAAAAGAAATGTTAGAAATGTTAGAAATCTAGAATTGCAAATTAAGCAATTTATTGTTCAATAATTATTCAAGTATCGAAACGAAAGAGTATAGAAACAAAAATAGTAAATTTCAGTATGAACTTTGTAGTTAAAGACGTCCTTTTGTAGTTAAAGAGAAAGAAGAAACTATGTGTCAATAATTATATTAATTATAGTAACTAGATATTTTGAAAAAGTATCGTTATTTCAATAAAATTAAATCAACATAACGATATGAATAATATAAATGTAATACAATAGGTATAATTCATCACAACATTATCAATGCATACAAAAATTATCATAGAATATATCCTGCAAATGTTGCATCACAATATCAAATTTCCAACTTTTATCGACGAGAAAATCAATTCCACGGATATTTAGAGAATTCAACAAGCGTTGAATTGAATTGTATGTCAAGATCGATTGACTGTAAACCGAATAGTGTTTCGCATTTCTATGAGGAAGAAGCGAGTGGTTAGCCTTGTTGGTACAACAAATAATGAGAGAAGTAACCAAATCATTGCATACTTTGAACACAAAATTACAATAACGAAAAATTCTGGATACAATTAATAAACCTTTCTATTTAGAAGTATAGAATTTCGATAAAAATTGATATGAAGTTTATATATCTTTAATTCATTTTCGCGTGACAGATTGATCTTCGAATACGTCGAAGTATAAATTCTTTACCTGATTATGAAAATGTAGTCGTTTTCAATATGATGAAATTGTCAATTTGTAAGAAGTATTTTTTTAATGTTACGTGCTTTTAAAGATTAGAAATTAAATTAATTTTTAGAATTTAAATTAAAATTTACTTTGAAATTCATTAATTTAAAAACTGATTTGTCTCCTTCATACCCCTATAATTCATGTGTATATATTTCGTGCATAGAAGAAACCTTTAAATAAAAGCTATATAATTAATATATTTAAAAGTCTCGAAACTAAATCAACTAAAAATCAAAAAGCACTGCGAGAAACTAGATTCCAAGAAGCATAAATAATCATGAAGTAATTACTGAAGTTAAAGTAATTACAGTTGTCTCAGAGAGTTGAAACAGCCCAGAAATTGGAGTGAATTTTCCGATGGACAGCATCGGAAGTGAGAGTGGTTGCATAAAGGTACAGGAAGTAGAAAGACACGTGGCAAGCCAGCAAACGAAGTTAACGATCGCGTGACTGAATATTTCACGGGTCTATCGTCATCTAAAAACGATCGTGAAATCTTCTGAATTTATTCTTTCAAAATTCTTCGTTTTCCACAGCCGAGTACATATTACCATGCAATAGATCAGATCCCAAGATAGACTCATGCTTTAAGAAGACTTTGAACCACCTGCAGCCATATTTGCTGAAGGGTAAGTAGAAATTATTCGAAAAGTTTGGAACGTCACATCATCGAATATATTAATCAGCAAATTTTGTTTGCGTCAATCAATCTTTTAATTAGCGTGTTAACGATAATATTACTATATAATTTTGAGATTGTTGAGGATTAAATATTATTGAGAAATAAAACTGAATATTTTGAATTTTGACTTCTTTTGTTAATTTAATGTAAATTTCTGTAGTCATCTTCTATAGTCAATTGAGTATTACTGTTGTACGTTGAAATGGGTTTACTCTTGACAAAATTAAGAGCACTTCGAAACGTAGAAATGTAAAAATGTAGAGTAAAGGTATGATCTTATGTAACAGAGTTACGAACATCAGTGAATCAGCTGGTTTTATAATCAGTAATTAATTAGGGCATGTAATTTCGACCTGCTTGAGGATCTTACGTAAACGGGCGGCGTTTCTACGACTTTGAATACTTGATTGATTCGTGTCCTTATTTCCAAATACCTCTTTGTAAACGACACAGCGAAATTTAAGACGTTGAATGCAAAGACACGAAAGAATCAAATCACTTTTTTAATTACTAAAAGACAAATGAACGAATATAAAAATTTGTCGACTATTCAAAATACAAAAATTCATCAAATTAGAGAAAACATTTTACTGTTGATATGATCAATATATCGATATTGAAAACTACATATTCGTGTTTACCAAATTAAATAATCGTTCGTTTTATCCTTATTATTAGTGAATTAAAGTAAAAGGAATATCAATTTTAAAATGAGAAAGTAATTAGTAATTTATAACTTCCATTCTTTTTCCACGTTCTTTCATAAGCAAACAGAATTGTATCAATCATTATCACCACATAAAATTCCATTCTTTCAGGTCTCACTGATTTGGATCTACCTCCGATCGAGCCATTGATCATCCCGGAACTAGGAATGGAGAACGGTCAAGGAGCCGTTCGTGTTAGAGCGTTGTTCTCTAATATTACGGTCATAGGGGCAGGAAATTATTCGCTCATAAAGGCACGAGTCGACGTAAAGACATACAGGCTTGATCTTCACTTATCGTTTCCAAAGATCGAACTACAAGGCCGTTACGAAGTGGCGGGAAACGTGTTGCTCTTCCCCATTCAGAGCCACGGTGAATTCTGGGCACTTTTCGGTAAGTAAAGATTGCATTCTTCGATGCAAAGAACAAAGATATTTGTATAAGTGTTCGCAACTGATCTTTAGCATTTGTATAGCAATTGAAGTGCGCATGTATACAGAGTCGCTAAATCGTGAAATTCTAAACTTTGAAACTTGATTTTGAAGAAGACACCAAAAGTACAGAGACTCGAGGTTTGACGAAAACGTCATTTTTCTTCATCCTGGTTATTTACAGGAATAATAGAAAAATGAAGGGACGTGCCCAACGTCAATTAAAATTTTTTTTGGACAAGTTTTTAAAGAAATTTCTATCTAAATTTCGATGCAAAAAACAAAGATATCTGTGTAAGTTTTCACAACTGATTTTTAACATTTGTATAGCAATTGAAGTGCGCATGTATACAGAGTCGCTAAATCGTCGAAATTCTAAACTTTAAAACTTGATTTTGAAGAAGACACCAAAAGTACAGAGACTCGAGGTTTGACGAAAACGTTATTTTTCTTCATCCTGGTTATTTACAGGAATAATAGAAAAATGAAGGGACGTGCCCAACGTCAATTAAAATTTTTTTTGGACAAGTTTTTAAAGAAATTTCTATCTAAATTTCGATGCAAAAAACAAAGATATCTGTGTAAGTTTTCACAACTGATTTTTAACATTTGTATAGCAATTGAAGTGCGCATGTATACAGAGTCGCTAAATCGTCGAAATTCTAAACTTTAAAACTTGATTTTGAAGAAGACACCAAAAGTATAGAAACTGAAGGTTTGACGAAAACGTTATTTTTCTTCATCCTGGTGATTTACAGGAATAATAGAAAAATGAAGGGACGTGCCCAACGTCAATTAAAATTTTTGGACAAGTTTTTAAAGAAATTTCTATCTAAATTTCGATGCAAAAAACAAAGATATCTGTGTAAGTTTTCGCAACTGATTTTTAACATTTGTATAGTAATTGAAGTGCGCATGTATACAGAGTCGCTAAATCGTGAAATTCTGAACTTTAAAACTTGATTTTGAAGAAGACACTAAAAGTATAGAAACTCAAGGTTTGACGAAAACGTTATTTTTCTTCATAATAGAAAAATGAAGGGACGTGCTAAACGCCAATTAAAATTTTGGACAAATTTTTAAAGAAATTTCCATCTAAATTTTCTCTATAAAACTCCAATTAATTAAGAGTTGAAACAAAGAATTTCAAGGGTCACGAGAAAACGTAAATATCATTTTGCAAACGACACAGCGAAATATAAAACTGCGATTCCATTATATCTTCTTCTCCGATCTTTCCCGAAAATTCTCTCAGACGCGTCTCACGTTTAAACGTGAAATTTCTCAAATATTCTATAAAATTGCCGAGCTCGTGTGTTCGAAAATATAATTCAAATACACGTTCCTTTACTTCGTAGCATTAAGAGCATGAAATTGTATTTTTTCAGGCGACGTTCAGGCGATCGCTCGTCTCCAAGGAGTGGAGGAGATCCGCGACGGGGTTCGTTACCTGAAAGTGGCGCGGATGTTGGTCGATTTCAATCTGGCCCGAGCGCGATTCCGCGTGGTCGATCAATTAAATGGCGACAACGTGATCGGCCAAGCGATGAATCAGTTCCTCAACCAGAACGCGAAGGAGATCATCGAAGAGATGAGACCAGCCGCCAGTGCAAGCATCGCCAAACATTTCAAGAGTTTCCTTGGCAAGGCCTTGAGCAAGGTCCCGTTAAAAGTTTGGCTTCGCGACACGTAGTTCCTTCGGATCGTTTCTTTTTATTTTCTTTTTCTTTTTTCTTTTTTCTTTTTCCTCTCTTGTTTTTCTGTAAACGTTGTCGAAGAAAATCACGTTCCCTTAACTCCTCGAGGCGCGATTTGGATCGTGAAACGGACGAATCGCGTTTGGGCAATGAAACGACGAAGAAGAATGCTCTCGAAGACGGAGTATTTCGATGGACTGACGATGATTTGACTTTGGTTCAAATTTGTATGTATCGTGCATTTTTGCTGCACTTTATGGCAGATGAAGAGGATTGATTCGAGAGAATACTGTTTCGCAAATTCGTTGTGAGAATCATCGAGTGAATATCGTTGCTATTGAGTTGGTGCTAGGGTAGAACTTTGGTTGTTTGAAATATATTTTATGAAACTGAGAAATATTTCAGAAGTCGTTTCTCCTTTTGTTTATTAAATACTTTCTCCTCTTTCTTCATTATCAAATTGCTTCGCCTACGATTCGTTTATCTTCATTACGAAACATTTTTCATCTGAAGTGTTTCATTTTGTCTATTTCGAGTCATCAAATATTTTCGTAATTCTTTAATTTTACATTCAAACAATCTTAGTCACGCCGTACTATTTTCTGCCGCATTTAACGGGAAAATAAACTTGTAGAATGATACGCTCATCGTTAATTTCAATGTACAACTGACTTCTCGATGTTATGTCACACGCCACACACTGTAGTTACAGTAGCTCTGTGCAGAGAAAAATAACCGATAATTATTCAGAAACGTGCTGTCCGCTTTCAAAAATTGACTCGAACATCATGACTTCTCTGCACAGAGATTGTAATTACACGCATATAATATTGATATAATAATAATAACTTAATTTCATCTGCAGATGATCTACGCATTTCTCTCAAATATCTACATTTTCATCATTACCTCAGGATTTCTCGTTAATTAAATAAATCTCAATTATTTTTAAAAGAGTCAATATCATCTCCTCATCATTACCTCAGGATTTCTCGTTAATTAAATAAATCTCAATTATTTCTAAAAGAGTCAATATCATCTCGAAAGTTATAAGATTCCATGAAACCGTCATCTGTTGACCGAATAATCTTACATTCTGCTACTTGTGGTGAACTACATTGTACGATATCGCTGTGTATACATACGTATAATTTGTTCGCCACTATGTATAGCTTTCTTGAAACATCAATGCAAATAACAAGGAAAAAGGGAAACTAAACAGACTTATCAGCCTCTTGGATGAGTTTTTACGTCACAGACTATGTAAGTTGTCAAAGGTGAACCTCGAGATTGAAAGGTAATCAGATCATCTGTGTGTGCTGTAAGACACTCTGCCAAAACTCTGACAGTTCCTTGTTTACAAAGATAGTGTAGTATGACAATATGTTGACTGTATTCGTCATTTCTCGAAATATCTATATTTCTTGTTTTCATTGACGTCAAGCACTGTACACTATGCATATGTATTCATCATACACCATACCTCAGCTAAAGTATCTTTTTTGTTTCTTAGAATTTAGGTATTTGAAGAACTTAAGTATCTAAGACATTAATATATTTTTCTTATTTCTAATGACACGAGAGGTGTTTCAGAGAGACCTTTTACTTCAAAGAGGAATATCTTGTGAAGAACATGTATCTCGTTATCATTTCTTTCGAATCTTTTCTAGAATTTTTTTTTTTTTTTTTTTTTTGTTAGATAGCACCTGTGTTATATCTGTTTTTACTATGATTTATCATTGCTATAAGTATCATTTCAGTGCTTTTTTTTTTTACAAGTTGAATTTCAAAATTCTCTCACGCGAACGAATCAAATTTTTTCAAAATTCTACCAATTATTGTAAATATCTGTAAATTTCTTTTAAATTTATTACAGTAATTTCATCTATCAATTGTCTCTCCAATGTTTCATTGTATCATTAAGCAACTTTAAAATAATGAATCATCTTCAGTGTCAAATAGGATTCGAATATTCGTACGATAGTGGCGAACGAATTTCGTTTGAATGGCCATCAAAATCGTTTCGAATAAACCATTTCGATACGATGGGGATAATAGAATATTCAGATGATGAAACATAAGATACGACTCCTCTCTACCAGCACATTGTAAACAAATTTTATTTCAACAGCCAACTTACAGATAATTACAACAGAAACAACTAAATACCGCGTGGCCTACATACACGCCACATTGCGAAATATCCCCTACAACATTTCGATGTCAGAACGTTAGATAATAGACACCGAAAATAAGAGAACCGTCTCAACGATGAAACACAAAATTCGTCCATCAATAGAATTTTCAATTAATAATCTACTCTTCCATCGTACAACCACGGATTATGCAGCTCGAAACAAGAAACGAAACGTCGAACTCGCTCTCAACGCTACCCGATAATGAGAATTATAGCTGTGGCAGCACGCCGTATCGTTCGACCTTCGACCCTTGCTCTCTCCCGTTGCTTCCCGAAGATTCCCTTGTTGAAAACCAACCGGTCCCTCGAGCAGTCGGGTCACAGACGTTCCGAGAGCACACCCGGGAACGAACCGGGTTGAACGCTGTTAAACGTACGCGCGCAAACAAGCGAGAGGCCGAGGAAAGTGACAAGGGTGAAGCGAATCGATCGACGATCAGTCGACGACCGATTGGCCTTGGTATTTGGCGGTGGTCCCTGATGCCACGCGACGAAAACCATCTCCAACGCTCGAACTGTCGAGGCAGAGGGTGGTGAACGACAAAGACCGAAAGGTGTCGTTGAACGAGGTGGAAAGAAAGGTCACTACGATGATGGCTCAATTCACCAAGAGGCAATGGCTCACGTTGATCGTCATCAGCCTCGCCGATTTTGCTAACGCGATCTGCGTGTCGCTACAGGCGCCGTTCTATCCGCAGGAGGTGAGTAAAATCGAGGGTGGTTTCGGTTAACAGTAGAATTATGAAATTTTGACGATGACTCAGTAGTTTTTTTTTCTTTTCTTTTTTTCTTTTTTTTTTTTTTTT